AGGGAAAACATACCAGTAAAAAACAATAGAAACTTGATTTCTGGATGGAGTTTCTTGGTTTGGTTGACAAATGCTGCTTGCGCATGCTCTCTTTCTTAGGGAAATATTTGATTTCTCCAGGACTGAACTGGCTCCAAACCCCAGGAGACCAACTGGTACATTAAATGTTCATTACGTTTCATAATGCATAAAAGTGAGGCTAAAATAAAAGTACTGGTGATTTCTCTTTTAGTGGAAAGGTTGAATCCTTCAAAACATTTTGACCTAAAGCCAAGACAGGTATCCCTGGGACCACAGCTGGGAGAAGAAATTATTGGTGGATAGAATTTTCCATTGTATAATCAGGAATTTAGAACTTATGTCCCTGATGGGACCAGCAGTTAGCATAATGGCTATGTCGCTGGACTCCCACGTAGTGGACTGCAGTTCGCGTCCCGGACCCTGTGGCTTAAACTTACGCCGGACGCGTGTGCGTGCATGCACAAGATCCCAAGAAGAGAATGGAGGAGAAGGGATTGCGGCGTGGCCATTCCCCCCGGGGGTAATTTTTTGCTTTCTATCTCTCTGTCTTTCTTCTGTCTGTCTGGCGAGCGCACACGCCCTATAGCAAAAACCTCTCAAAAAAAAAAAAAAAAAAAAGAACGTCCCTGAGAATTTACACCTAAGCATAGATTCGTCCCTGGCAACCATATGCAATACTCGATACTATTATTTTGTCTGATTAGATGATGCGGTTTATGTGCATTATCTCACTGCCTCAGCAGCACTAGGAGCCTTTGAAAGTACCTACTGTGGCTTATAGGATTAAAATATGGCCTTTTGGAGACTAGATCCTTAGATTTTGTGGTAGGTAGTTAGTCATGAGCGGGCAGCCCTAGGAGAAAAGCGAAAGGCTTCTCTAGCTCTGGGCTCCAGGAGGGCAAGGCAATTAGCCATCTCCCTTCCTTGGGGCCTGAGGGAAGCATACAGGGATGATTTCTAGATTTTTCTCCTATCAAAAAGACCCAAGTAAAGCATTTTGGTCAACATCCTAATTCCGATTAGGGTGATGGACTAGCTGGGCAGTCTAATTGGGGCAACTTTGCTCGCATTGGCGTGGGCAATTAGGTGATCAAGTTCCTCATTCTTTACCTGTGAGGAAGGTGCACAGGTGCAGGAAAAAACATGTGGATTCAAATTCAAAGGAAGGACAGAGGAAGCGTAACGGGCCTCCCACTAATGAATATTCATGACCTCTAGTAATAAAATGACGGTTGACCCTGCAGAGTGCGGTTGCCACCTGGCAATCTGCCCGCCCAAGGGCCTTTTGGGTGTACTTCCTTTCTTTCCTATTAAATCTTTTCTACCTGCTTCATTCATGGTTGCGGTTTCATTTTGCGCCTAGGGACAGATCTCTCATTTTAGTGATCTGGACCCAAAAAAACAAGGACTTCACAGCGCTGCTCAGCACTTCCCCTTCCGTTAACAGTTTGAAATTGTCATGATCTCAGGAAATTAATTTAAACCCTCTGGCTTTCTGATGTTTCCTCTATTAAATAAGATAACATGCTTGGGACCAGCAGTTGGTGTAATGGCTATGTCGCTGGACTCCCATGTAGTCAACTGCAGTTTGAGGACCGGACCCAGTGGCTTAAACTCACGCGCATGTGCGTGCATGCCCAAGATCTTGAGAGGAGAATGGAGGAGAAGGGATTGTGGAGTGGCCATCCCCCCTGGGGGGTGATTGATTTCTCGCTTTCTGTCTCTCTGTCTCTCTCTGTCTTTCTGGTGAGCGAACATACCCTATGGTAAAAAAAACTCTTAAAAAAATTAAATAAGATAACATGCTCTACTTTGCAGGTTTCAGTGAGAATTAAATTTAAGCAGGAGGCACATAGTAGGTCCTCAGCAATTCAGATTCATTATTGCTCTCATTTTGAGAAACAGTATTAATAGAGAATGGGGACCAGTAGGTTGTGTAGTGGTTGGGGTG